CCTACCTAACTACCTACATCATTGATTGATTAAATAATTAATTTTTTATTTTGTTTTGAATTATCTTCAGAAGTTTTCAATTGCCGCCCTCACCGGTGGTAACCAGTGCCACTGCGGCCATCTTGAAAATACTTTTAACTACCAGAATCCAGCCAATCACAGTCGGTGTAACATACCATGTAGCGGCTTCCAGGGACATTACTGTGGTGGCAGCAATCACGCTTCGCTTTACCTGACAAATTTTGAAGGTAGGCTACACCAAAAACAACAACAACAACAACAGACAACAACAACGACGGCGACTACGTTATTCTTGCTTACAAGTCTTATTAGTTTTTCGAATTAAAAAAATTGCCGATAGTCACGGAATCCCGAGTAGCCTAGTCTTTCCAATGCCAACTACTAGTATATATTCAAAGACATTTCGGAAAGTTGACTTAAAAAAAATTATAACAACGTGAATGATAGTTTTCTCTCATGAAATATTATCTGCATATTATGCAAATTGAATAGTTTCTGATAGGCTCAAACCAGATCGTTCCAGAAATGGATACTAGTAACCGGTAGGAAATCGCACCAGTTTCAGTGAGGGCGCATCCAAGGGACGCAAGTCATTTGTTTTGTTTTTCGCGACCAATTCATCAATGCGTATTTTTGTCATTTTCAAGGGTTTACTGCAAGTACGTCTGCATTGATGCACGTTGTTATTTTTCTGCAAACTAACATAGTTGCTAATTAAACAACTTTCAGATCCAAGATGCCAGAATGCTAGTTTCAAAAAAGATGGTTCCATGCCTCTCGTAGCACTAGCAAGTTTTCCTGGATCGGGTAACACCTGGGTACGCCATCTAATTGAACGCTCATCGGGAATATACACCGGTAGTTTTTACACGGACGGGGAACTCTACAAGAAAGGTAAGCCTGGTATAATTGACTGCAGACATTATTCATACAAACGTCATCGAAAGGTTTGTGTTATCATGCAATTATCAGGTCGACACATTAGCATACTGAATGCAAGACGAAGCGTATATATAGCGCCATTATGACGTAGTACTTTGTAGACCAATGTCGATCAAATAGACAATTTTATTACAATGTAGCGAATTTCTAAAACAACATTTTTTGATTGAGGGAAACCCAAAAGATAAAAATAAGCTTCGTCGCAATAGAATCGGTTTATTCTGTATGGCTCCCAAGGAGGAAGTTTACTAGAAAATCTATTGTTCTCAACAGGTTTTAAAGGTGAAAAAGAGAACTGGAAGAAAAGAAATACTATTGTGGTGAAAACGCACGATTTTAATCCCGACCTTATTAAGGAATACGATGCCGCCATAGTCGTTATAAGAAACCCATACAAGGCAATGGTCGCGGAGCATAACAGGAAATTCGGAGGCCATACTGGGTACGCTACCGAGGATAAATACAAGAAAGGATCCGGTAGGTTGAATGACTTCTGTGTTGACGATTAGTTGAAATGATTATACATGTTTTCATTTTCAGATATAGAAACTGTAAACGTTAATACCTGCCAGAGCAGAGTCAGACAATAGGTTAGGCTGCGCATATTATAAACTACACGTAAAACCACATTCGTGAGCGTCATACTTTATGTCCTCATATGAACCCACTAGGTACGCAATTGACGTTGCCATAGAGATGATCGTGATTATCGTCCTATTTATATTTAAAGCTCATAGAAGCGAGTGACACTAAAAAAATCAAGACAAACAATATCCGCTTCTTTGTCATATTAATATATTGTGGTATTGTGATCACATTTGCACAGTAATGCTCTTCATTTATTTTCACTCCGAATCATTTTCTCTTTGACATATCCCATTTGAAATTAGCTGGTTATTTCGTTTCTACAATTCATCAGTCATATTTTAATTAAAGAGATATTACAATTCCATATCTATATGCGAGTCAGATTGTCAATCTTTTACAATTTAAACTACATTCCTGTTTTCAAATTCTAGAATGGCAAGATTTTGTGATGGGGAAGTCGCGTACTTGGACAAACACAGCAATGATGTGGCTACAGAACTGTCCAAAAGTATTGGTCGTCCACTTTGAAGATTTGATACAACATATGAACCGAGAGCTTCGCAGAATGATGGAGTTTCTCAATGTTGACATCAACGAGGAACGGCTGCTGTGTGCTGAAATGGATTCTGAAGGCAAGTTCAAAAGACCAACCAAGAAAACAAAGATGTTGACCTTTGACCCGTTTACTCAGGAAATGCGCGAATATGTGGACATATATATAAAAACAGTTGCCATGGCGCTGAAGTTACACAATCAGCCTGATTTACCAAAAGAATACAACCCAGGTCTCAGCTCTGACGTCCGTTGGATATGCACATATATGGTGTATTAGTATTACAACTGGGCAGTTCCAGTCCGCCGAAACATTTTAGTGGGTTTCAATACAATCTGCAATTACCGAAAATGTGTATTTTGTATTTTTTTGGCGTCATCTCGTTATTAATGCCACCCTCAGTCGTGTGACTACAACTAGACTAAATTATAGTCACATAAACAACTTATAAAGTCTAAGCGCCAGTAACGTTCGTAAGACTCGTAAGCAAAGCATCAGAAAAACAAGTATTCGTAGCCTTATTACTCATTGGTTGGTCACATATCAAAATGAATTCAGTTGGTGCTTCAGTCAAATTATGACAGTCTTGTTCTCTTTGGTTAACGACGATTCACTTCTTTTACGTCGTGTTCGGGAATAGGGAACATAGCTAAACCTTTTATAATAAGTTGTAATTTAATCAGAAATGTAATGGGTTATACTTTCAATTATGTCCTTGGGCAAGTTTCGATTTGGTTTATTTAGTGTCCCACAGATACCGTCTTTGTAAATGTTGTACAGAAATCACTCCCTTCGGGGTACTCACGTGTTGCTTTTATGATTTCGTGTTATCAAAAGGAAAAACATTGGCGCAAAGTAATACATATGTTATGCCACGTCTAATATTGGTTCGTGCAATTGAATTTTCTACCTCGTGGGTAGTCATATTGTTTTCAACTATTTGTCACTGAATTTCTTTTTTTTTTACACGAAACTTCGATTTATATCGTGTATTTTGATGGTTACTATATATATATATTTTGTTTTCAATCAAAGTAATATAACACAATGCAACGCGCGTGGATTTTTTTTTTCTCTCCTCATGGTTCATAAAACTTGATTCAAAAACAGTTCAATGCAGATTTGTTTGAATATTGTAATTTCAGTTTCCTTCATTGTTTTCTTCAATTTTGAAAATTATCTTCAGATATATAACCGGAGTGCAAATTAAATAGCTTATTTCAGATGGCTAATAATCCGGGGTTAATGTAAGGTAACTTATTAGTTAAATGTATTCGCAATAAATAATCGATTCGACACGCGTTTAAAACAACTGTCGCCACGCAGCGCACTACAGACGCCACGCAGCGCGGTATGGACGCCAC